TTAGTGAGCAAAACACCGCCAGCCTGAAGCGTTAGGGGCTTAAATAACGCCTAGAACCTATTGCCTGATGTCGGAATATCATAACTGCACCACCAAGATCACATTTTGTTGAATTTGCGAAAATTTCATTTTTCCGACTTTTCAGACCATGAGTTAGGGGTAGTATCCCTACACATAACATGGCGAGTAGGAGCAGGTGTAAATCGTCAAACACAAATCTTAATGTACGTGTACATATTATACATCATTGAATAGAACTCAATTAGATAAGTAACACAAAAGAAACCCCATTACAAAAGTATTAATCCATTCAAAAATTATGAAGGAAAATTTGACTTGAAAATTCCCATAGAAAGTCCGAGCGGCAAAATCCTATAGAAATGTCCGAGACAGTGAATTTCGTGAACACACTTTTGACCATAACTTTTGAATGGCTTGGCCGATTTCGTTCATTAGATTTTTATTCGATTTCTCTTGCAAATATCTATCTCAGAAATTATAACACATTACTATGCATTTGTTGAAAAAAACGTTTTGGTCAAAAACTGAAATTCTCTCGGACTTTCTTTAGAAAAATGAGAAATTGGAAATTCATTTTCTGATAAATAAAATCGTTTGATTATTATTTTATTCAATAGATCACGCAATTGTGCACAAAATAAACTAAGAATCTTCGAAATCCATCCAGCAATTCGAAAGTTATGACAGAATAATAACGGTTGCGCACTACACTGATCTTACTATGGAACACTGAAAAGCAGCCACCAGCATGAATGAAATCAGTTGACCAGCAAACCAATTTTGTGCATGAACAGTGAGCGCGCTTTTCGAACGGGAAGTTTAGTCCTAACGTGGTTTGCATTTCTCAAACTTTTGCTGTGTTCTTACGCAACAAAAGTACCATTTCTGATCTAAACAATCTATTCTGAGCTACAAGTTCGGTAGATTACTTTTTTTTGAGTTTCACCCAATTTAATAGTTAACTGCGGTTTTGCCTCAGCTTACTATTCGGTTTATTTTCAGTTTTTCACGTAAAGGCTATTTCATTTTATCTCATCCGTTTTTATACATTTTTCCCGTTTTAGTGGGGTTTTTAGTGTATTTTTAACGGTATTAAGAACAGTTTACGTAAATACAGCCATGAAAAATTCATGCAAAATACCTGGATGCCGTTTCGCTGTTACATCTGGCATGCAGTGTGACAACTGCAAAGGTTGGTTTCACGAAACGTGCACAGATCTTACGGCAACGGCTTACAAAAGACTCAGCAAATCGGACCGTAAGTGGGTGTGCGTCACGTGCAACACGGACGCTGTAGTGCTGCTGAGCAATATCATTGTTCTACTGCCAGGTCTGCGGAACAAATTGTCAGTAAACTTGGAAACAGATTGCCATAAAATAGGTAGGCAAACGAGGGCGCGTAACGAAAATAAGAACAGAGATGTTGACAAGTCAACCATCGATGGAACGCGCATTAGCACTAATGATGACATGTTGAAACTCAGCACCATCATTACGTCGCCAAAAATTGATTCACTCACTAAAATTGGATCTTCTAGTTCAGGGTCCTGACACGCAAGAGTGGTTCCTAAAAACTCGGCAGGTGACTGTAACCACGCCATCAGAGCTAATAAGGACCAGGTGTCACCGTCCAAGGTTGACATCCCAAGTGTTGTACGGACATCAACTGGTGCTTTGATCGCTCAGTCTACCCCCAAAAATGTCCGCCCGGTTATTAAAAAGCCTACGATTCAAAAACCTGCTTCGACCTCCAAACAACAACGTACTGAATCTGAACGCACTGGAAGAGCTGGGAAAACAACAACGGTCCGTGATGACTCCCTCATAATCATGAACCTCATAGACAATCCTGACCTTCCTCTCAGTTTGCAGGACAAAAATGACAGGATGCTTTGGGGTGAACTGAACAAAAAGCTCGAACTCCCTAGAATAGAGCCTTTGACGGTCACACGGCTCACTCGGGGAAAGGATTCTAAACAACCAAATCATCCGAGACTACTTCGTGTAACACTCAAGAATGCTACCGAAGTAGAGGATGTCCTGCTGGCCAGTCATCTACTGAAATCCGATGGGAACGTCAGAATACTGCCTGACATACCATATTCTGAGCGCAATCTCATCCGAAACGTCCCTAAAGATTCTCGAGATAAGTTTTTCCGCGGAAGAAATATCATCGTGCAAGGTGTACCGGAAAACATGGACCCTACTCAAGCAAACTCTGACATTCGGGAATGGAAATTCATCAAACAGTCCTTGAGGCTTAAAAACATACTGTCTCAGCATGTGATGAGACTAGCCAAGAAGGATGGGGATCCTAGACCCCGACTATTGAGGATAACTTTTCCATCCTCCCATATGGCGGCTGCAACTCTGGAAGCATTTCGTGTCAACAGACGTCGGTTGCCAACTGGGATCCATATGCACCCGGATAGGCCATACGACGCCAGGATCAAGCACAAAGGCGAGCTGGAACTGACCATTCCACTTGTGGACTGTCTTCCAGACAAAAAAAACGGGTAAAGGACAGGCGCTACCAATTAGACAAAACTTATATAGGTGGGTTACCTGTCCACTCACGCAAGGCTCTCATAGATAAACAGAACGAAGCTCACGCGTTTCAAATTGAAAGCATTAACTGCTTATACATGAACGCCGCGAGTCTACCAAATAAAATGGATGAACTAAGTGAACTCAGCAACGCTAATAAAGTTCATCTGATAGGAATATCTGAAACTTGGATATCTCCTCAGTATTCGGACCAGGAGCTAGCAATACCTGGGATGTCTCTGTTTCGAAATGACAGAAAAACAGGAATTAGGGGTGGAGTAGCCCTATACATAAGATCTGGCCTGGTGGTACATCAAATCCACAACCACGAGTTTGACAATCTTGAGGAATCCCTATGGTGCTCTATGAGATTGTCCACTACTTCGAGGTGCTTAGTCGGAGTCATATATAGGAAGCCCACTGCCGACATCGAGTATGACAGTCGCATGCTGCAGGGACTATCCCGCTCTACGCGTCTCGGCTTTACTCATATCCTGATTCTAGGGGACTTCAATCTTCCTAGAGTCAACTTCGCGGAACATACGTATACTTGAGGTGAAAATTCAATCGAAGCTCGGTTCTTCAACCTCATTGAGGACTTGGGACTACACGAAAATGTGAAGTCGCACACTCGTTGGAGAAACGGTCAGACACCGTCGCGCTTAGACTGTGTTTTTACAAATGAAGAATTTCTAGTCGACAACCTCTCAATTCTGGCTCCCCTGGGGAAGAGCGATCACGCCGTTATAGCCTTCAGTTTCGTCAGCAAAACAGAGCTAAGATATCCCGACAACAACAGGCGCTGGAACTTCAAACGGTTGAATACGTCAGCTCTACAGGATTATCTACA